CATCTGAATCACCAAAAGGGTTGGAATAAACTTTAAATTCTTCAAATTCTTGAATTGGGCTCTGAAGCATAGAAGAAGCAAACCTAATTAGATATGTAAACTTGAATTTTCAAAATTATGCAATTATGTGTAAATGGGACGCCTAAAATTTCCATGAGGGAGCTAGAAAGTTGAGACCTTTATTTGAACTGGACAAGCTAACTCCAAGTTACAAAACACCATTTATCCTCCAGAACCTTCGAAATTCAAAAGGGAAACATTATTTTCAAGCTTCAACCTCAGAGTGCTTAATCTTCAACAAATCTACAAGCACTAAGAGAGTAGTACATATAATAACAGTATTCTAAAAAGTTACACCATGTAGTGACTTGTAGAACGTTTGAGATAAAGCTATCTTGGGTCAATTATGAACAATGATTGATACAGACCCAAATACATCCAACAGCCAACTCGAGAAAGAAACAAAATCGTTCTAAATTAATCGATCTGAGCTCAAGTACTTCATATGTAGAGATGGGTATTCATCAATGGGACCATTGTGAAATTTTAACTGCAGCACCACTCGACTTCACCTAACGCAAGAACGGACTTAGGGAAAAAGGTGGGAACCATACGGTGATCTTGGAGTGAATCGAAACGAAGAGGAACGAAATTGAACATATAGCAACAATTTATAGACCGAAATAAGAGACATAACATAGCTGAAGGAAAAACACACATCGATTGAGAAGGAAGAAAGCAAACATCGAAGACAGGGGAGGAAGAAACCAAAAAAAATCTAGAAGCCAGATCCTGATGGAACGAATAACTAACTTGTACAATGAAGATAACTTATTTTCCTCCAAAACGACGTAGTTATATATGTTCCACACCTAAACTTAAATACCCAACAACCACATATTCCCTAACCCCTATATATATATATATATATATATATATATATATATATATATATATATATATATATATATTATATATAATATAGAGAGAGAGAGAGAGATAGGTTCAGGTGTTTAAAGTAATTATTGTGTTATTGTATGCATAAATGTGGGCCAATCAAAATTAAATAAAAAATTAAACAACTAAATAAATAAATCAGGGTAATTTAGTAATTTGTTTAGTATGTTCCAAAAATAATCACTATAATCATGCTTATAACCTAAATAAATAAGCGTGTCTTCAATCTTCCACCCGATAAAGCCATAGCATCGACGTGTCTTCAATCTCCCACCCCGATAAAGCCCTAGCATCGACGCTTTCAGTGTTCGGAAGATTCTCCTTACACTTTCACTTCATGGGAGAGGGCACGACATATCAATCGTTCATCAATTCTCCTTACAACCGATCATCACCGATGACAGTAGTGACGAACACGATGGCAGACAAAGCCCAACACACGATTCCAACACCTCAAAATCACCAAAAAAGATGATGAAAGCCATTGCGGGCCGATTCGAGAAGCTTTTCAGTAAACACGATGAATCCTCCATTAAATACGATTCATCAGATTTACCCACAACTTCATCCGACAACGGTGAGTCAACAGAAGAATCCGCCTTCACTACAACCTTCAAAGAATCAATGGAAACCATGGAATCAGCAGACGAAGGAAAGGAAACGCCTGAAAGGTATGATTGAATGTGGTGCTAAGCAAGGATTGAAGGAGAGCTTTGACCAATTTGCAGGATTGCTTGGTCAAAGAGTCAAACCCGTGAATCAGTTGATTGTATTAGACAAAGATCAAACGTTGGAGGCTTTGTTGAATGATCACCAATCCTATTGGGAATTGGGGGTGGGGTATTTTTGTAATTTCAATGTGTTTTCTACTGTTTTCATGGTTGTTTATGCTTTTGTGCATATTTTTCTATGTGAGTCGAATCGGATTCAAGGTTTAGAGTTTAATGGGCTTGAATTGCCTGATAGTTTTGGTGAATTTGTTACGTATGGAGTAATTTTCTTCAACTTGGAGCGCATTTATATCATGGTTTCCCGGTTTGTCCAAGCTAGACTGAGTAGAGGTAAACTTTTCCCTTTGTTACTCGTCAAAAATTTATTGATTATGCACATGTTTATGCTCTCATTGATTGTTGACAGGAAACGATCATGGTGTCAAAGCTCAAGGTGAATGATGGGTGCTTACAGTAGCACTCATCGAGGGAAACAAGTTAGCTCCATTGGATTGTTCGGGTTTCTCAGATCGTTTTGTAGTGTTGACATGCAATGGATTGTTTGGGTTTCTCAGATCGTTTTATGTAGATGATTCAATGGATGATATTGGTGAGATCCAATTCTATTGGAATGGAATCACGAATTCTAATTCTGTTGGAATCACAGAAGTTGATGCTTGAAGAACGGACCATAAAATTGAAACGAACCACATTAGTCTTTTAGAATGTATTAGTCGTTGTTAGATTTTGATGTTTTCTTTCCCGTTTTGAAAGTTTTTTTAGTTTTATTCTTTAACAATAAATGTAATTCTTAACAATTGTTACCCGTATTCTATAAGAAATAATGTATTTTTTGTTTTTATTCTTCAATTGATTGTTCAAGAATTTGTTATTCTACAAGAAGTTCTTAAAGTCATGAGCAAGAAATAGGTTCAACAATATTTTTATTATTTATGGTTCAAAAATATTTTTATTTTTGAGTAAATAATTAAATAAATAAACATATTCTGTCAGAATGTCCGAATTAAAATAGTTATAATTCGTAAAATCGGATTTTTAAACGAATATAATTTATGATCCCTTAAAATATGCAATTTTCCTTTATTAAATCTATATTAATTGACTAAAATACCCTTGTAATTAAATTAGATGATATTTTTTAAATTACATTTAATTCGATAATATCTATAATCACTTCTTAAATAAGTAAAATTGATGGCCCACAGTTATTCCATACAATAAACAATTAATTACTTTCAATAGAATAATTTAGGCCTATATATATATATATATATATATATATATCTATATATATATATATATATATATATATATATATATTATATATAGAAGGCTATCATATTTTAATTAATGAAACAAATTGTAGCAAAAATTGTATGCTTTTAAGAAATAGGCTTATGTTAAAGTACATGTGAATATTTTAAAAGAAATATGGTTTATATTTATAACTCTACAAATAAAATTCCTTTATATTTTTAGTAATTATTTATTTGTGGAATAAGTGATGATTTGATGGTTCTTACTTAGGGAATATAAAGTTTATATATTCCTAAATATTATTTTAAACGTAAAACCCAAACCGGGAGTTTTTCTGAACGGTTCGGTTATTCCAACTTTTCGTTTTGATTTGTCAAGATTTTTTACACAGACTAGCAGTTATATTTGTTTAGTTTGTGATTGTTGCTTTCATTAAATGACTTACTATATTTTAAAGTTACGACTTAAACGACTTATTATATTTTAATATTTTAGAAGTTAATACTTAAATGACTTACTATATTTTAAAGTTATGTTTTTGGTCACTTATATAATTTTTTTGTCTTTTTTTTTTATTAATTTCATTAATATACATTTTCAAGTATTATTTTCGTCCGCCTCTTCTATATATCTTTGTTTTCATACTTTTATGATCCACTTGATATGATATAATCGTTATGGTGATGTATGTACACTGTTGACATTTGTAAATTAAATTGTATATACGAATTACAAATGAATTACTCCATACATTAAAGTTAGGTTTTCGTCTATTACACAACTCTTTATAGTTTTCATTTTTATTAATTTCTTTAAGATATACTGTCAACTTTATTTCGCATCCTCCATATACAACTTTTTGGATCAAAACCTTATTTTGATATTTTTATAATCCATTTTATATGATCTAATCGTTTCCATGTTATATATGGACCGTTGACATTCGAAAATCACATTCTATATAAATTGCAAAAAAATTACAATGCACTTCAAAATTACGTTTTGAACCCTTACATGATTTCTCTTTATAGGCTTTTTTTATTATTTTGCAAAAAAAAAAAAAATTATCCGTGGCATACTTAAATACTAGTCTTTGAAATAATTTACTGAGGCAAAAAGATATTTGAACAAAGTATAGAGGCGTGGATATTTTGAGAAGCAGCAAAAATATCTACACCGTACAAATAAAAATCCGCCGCGCTGCAAAATATCTAAAGTCAAACATGAACTTCGGACTGACATGGCGCCATGCCATGTGGAAAAGCTATGACATCTGGCACTTCTATTCATTGCGCTCGCCGAATCATTTAACAAAACTCTTTGGCTCATCCTCAAATTCCACAACCACCGCCGTGTCTTCTTCTTTTTCTTCTCTGTTGGTATGGAGTATACGCTTCCGCCGCCGGTGACAGAGGCGCCACCATGTTCGGTGGCGTCGCAGATGATGGGGGACGAAGCGGGGTTGAGTAATTTTGTCGAGCAGGAGGAGAGTTCAATTATGGTATGAATCTTTATCATTATGAATATATATGGTCATATACTAGTGTTTATTTCTTGGGTTTTATCGTTGTATTGTAAAATTGTAATGGTGATTTTCTAAGAATTTTATAATGTTAATGTGGCTTTTAGGTTTGATTTGGAATAATAACAATTATTATACTTTTTGGTAGTATTGTTCTTGGGATTGTTTAATATCATTCTAATGGCATGTTGGTTGTTGGGGAGATAATTAGGATCCAGTCTTTTCAATTAAATTTGGTAGTTTTCAATTTTAAAATCTTAACCAACTTTAATTTCTCAAGAGAAGATGGCAAAAACTTTGAGAGGTCTGCTAAGATTCGGACACACAAGATGGGTTGCGTGGATTTAGGGTTGTGCTTAATTCAAATGCCCATTAGGCAATTCTGAAAGTTTATATAATGCTTGGGCTAGATTTGTTGGCTAATATAATTATAATTATTATATCTCAAAAAGGTGGAGTAGTGTGAAGCTTATAAAAGGATTATAAAAAGAGTACAAAGGCTTTGATAGTAAATTGACATGTTTATATATATTTTATGTATTATATATTTTTTTTCTTTCTTTCTGTTGCTATTTTACAATTTAGAAAGGTCCTAGTGAAATTAATTTCTATAGAGGACCATGTTTTTTCTGCTATGTTCCTATTTCTTTGACGTTATCTGTCATTGTGAGGGTTGTTGGATTTCGACATATTTATCATAGAGTTTGAGTAATCTTTTTAAAAAAACTCAGGAATCCCCGAAAAGAGAACCATCAGAATGGACTGATGAGAAGCATAATTTGTACTTAAATTCCATGGAAGCTTCTTTTTGTTTACCAGTTATATAATTCATTGGACATGCAATGTGGGAAAACCCAAAACGAGTGCTTGCTAGATACAAAGTCATCTAGGAAAGTTCATACTGGAACCCATTATCCTTCTGGCGAGGTTTGAATTGATGCATCTTGATTTATCTATCGGCTTGTAATCTTTCTTTTTCCCTATTTAAGATATGTTTTTTGTTTATATGTTTGTCAGTTTAAGGTTCTACAACATGGCTCTTGGTCAAGGATTGATTTCAGGAGTGAAAAGTCAGTTGTTAATGTAGTTGATAGACCCCATGTGACTTCAAGTAATCCATGGATTCAGCATTTTAGGAAAGCTAAGGAATCCCTTTCACCCCAGGAAAACGGGACATTAAGTACAACAACTCAACAAACAAGTTACGGTAACACAGGTATTTGCAACTTCACCCAATATATATTTTAACGAATGAACACTTGTGTTTTTACCATTTTATCGATTTAGCCACTTAAATATATTGTATTATGATTGAACCATTATACATGTTTTTAACAAATTAAAACAGACAAATTTCCAGGTAATTGTGTTTCTAAATATTGGCAAAATACAACAACGTACTTTCATCATCCTATAGACTTGGTTATTGAGCAATTATTTAAACTTATTATTATAATAATAGTTTGGTGGCTAAATCGATAAAATGATGAAAGTACACTGCAGTTTTCTGTATTTTTCCCGGATCTAAAATCCAATAACAAGGAAAAATTATTTTTTTTATTTTTTTTTTCAAAGTGGTTAACATAAGAATAATGGTTTAATCACTAGAGAAAAATAGTGAAAGTAGCTATATCCATAAATGTGTTGTACTTATTTACATTTCTTCCTTATATTTACTACAAGATTCATTAATTAATAGTAAAGGCTATATGACATATGTAAGTGTGTTTTTGCTATATGATTTGCCTACACATACGCGGTAGCTTGTGCATATTGGTCGGATGATGGATATGCGATGTGTGTGTGTCATGTTAGATGGTATCAGAATCATTAATTCATAGTTTGGTCTTACTTTCTGACATTGCAGAGGTGATAGATCAAAACTTTGTTGAAGATTCTGCTATAGAGATAGTGACCACACCCTACAACAAAAAGAGGAAGAATACTTCTGCAGTTTCCAAATTAGGCAATGGTCAGGTAATGTGCATGGTTAATGATATGAAAGTAGATGTTTATGAGATTATACACTCGTCTAGTCTCTCAGTCTTTCTTCTTTTATCAGGCTGCATCCTTTTGGCACTTGTCCTGTAATGGAAATGGCCGATAACCATGTTTCTGAGGCCTTGTGAGTTGTGAAGTTTTGCGGTGATTTCCAACAAGAGAAAAGGGATGGCTTGTTTGGATCTTAATATAACGTGAGATTATTATTCAACAATGGTATTATTTAGGACTTGTTAGCCAATATGATGTTGCAGTAGAAATCTTAGAAAGAGTGGCATTAGAATCATACTAGAAGATGGTGTCACACAACTTAAGAAGGTACAAGTATGCGATGATGATCCAAACAAGCGTTGTATACATGACATCGTCAACTTGGCATACTTATTTCAACTTGAAATCCTTTACATACTTATTTTCTGAACCATGTCAACAACATTTCTTGTTAAAAACAAGAATAGATGCAGAAAAATAATAACTTAAATAAATCGGCTTAGAAAGCACAAACATTTGCTACTTTTTCAAGTGGGTTTTGTATGTAACTTCAATCGTGAACAAAAGCTTCCGAAAAAGGCGTTAAAACTGACAACAACAATGGGGTTGCAAAATGATGGCTATGGCTAGATGGAGAGAGTTTGTTATGTGTAGCACTATCACAAAACAACCTTTCAAACATAGATATTAGCGACTAGGATATCCGTTGCTTGTAGCGACGGATATCAATAAATTTCTAGGATATCCGTTGCTTGTAGCGACGGATATCAATAAATTTCTGAATTTTAAACACATCTCTGACATTAGCAACGGTTTATATCCGTGGCTAATCCATCACAAAACATTACAATTAGCAACGGATTAGTAGCAAAACTTAATATTCTTCATAATTCGTTGTTGAATATTCGTCTATAGTAAGAATAATATTTTTGAAATTAGAAGTTTTATCCGTTGCTAAAAAGAACTATATATGCAAATTTACTTTTTCAAATTCAGCGACAAGATAGTTTCTAAAAAACCGGTGACATATTAGGTACTTACATATGTGAGTGAATATTTTAGATTTTGCATGTTTTGATTCTCTATTCATGTTGACGTTTGAGAGTTTGAGAGTACCGTTCATGTATTTTGTATGCTTATATTTATGTTTCTATTAGGTATCCTTTTAGTAAATTCTCTACATGCTTTAGTTCTTTTTTACTCAGGTGCGAGTAGATCATTTGTATCTCAATCCTTTAGCAGGGGTTTCGATATGCCTCTTGGGGAGTTGGAGTGACCGTTGCGAGTTTCCATTGCCAACGAACACAATGTTTCTGCTCCGAGTGTTTTCCGTGACTGTATTTTGGAGATATTTGGGGTGTCCTACCCGATTGATCGGATTCCCATCCCTATGGGAGATGTGTGCATAATTATAAGGATAGATTGGTTGAGCAGGTTTGGAGCTTTGATTGATTGCGAAAGACATCTAGTAGAGGTTCGAACCCCAATTGGGGGAGAACTAACCATATATGGAGAGGGTACCATGGTTGGTTCGACTTTCTGTTATGCTTCTAGGGCTAGACAGTATCTTCAGGATGGGTGTGCGGGTTATCTTACATATGTAGTGGATACTCGGGTGGAAGGGAAGAAGTCAGTTTCTGATGAGCTAGTTGTTAGGGAGTTTCCGGATGTCTTCCTGGAAGATTTTCCATGTGTGCCTCCCATGAGGCAGGTGGAGTTCAGGATCGATCTGATCCTCGGTGTGGCCCCGATTGCTAAGGCGTCGTATCGCCTCGCACCACCTGAGATTCAGGAGTTGTCCTCTTAGCTTCTGTTGGGCAAGGAGTTTATCCAGTCGAGTAGTTCGCCTTGGGGAGCACCGATCATTTTCGTCAGAAAGAAGTATGGTTCATACAAGATGTGCATTGATTACCGGGAATTGAATAAGTTGACAATGAAGAACCGTTATCCACATCTAAGGATTGATATCCTTTTCGATCATTTGTATGAATCATCTTGGTTTTGTAAGATTGATTTGAGGTCGGGATACCACCAGATGATATTTAGAGAGGAGGATATTGAGAAGATGGATTTCCGAACTCGTTATGGTAATTATGAGTTCTTAGTAATGTCATTTGGGCTTACCAATGCAACTGCATCATTCATGGATTTGATGAATCGAGTATGTACGTCAATGCTCGATCCGTCGGTTGTTGTGTTTATTGACGATATTCTAGTCTACTCCAAGACCAGGGAGCATCCTGAGGAGCACCTGCGAAAGTTACTGTCACACCCCCAAACCGGAACGGCGGAAACGTTCGGGGGTGGATGACGTCATATGTAATATCACAATGATTGCATCATAGTAATCAAAGTAAACACAACCATTACATTGAATACATATATGAAAAGGGTTTTTACATCTGTTTGATTCTTGTTTTTATACATCAAAAGTATAATCAAAAGAAAAAGACGTGACTCTATACGCTTCGTCTTCTTAAAACTCCAGGAGGTACATGTCTACTGATTTCCTGAGAATACAAACAATTTTGAAAGAGTATCAGCATAAAGGTGGTGAGTTCATAAGCATGTTTTTGAGAGGAAAATCGGTTAATGAATTAATGAATGTATTCGTATGCTTACAAGAAAGTCCATTATTTTCTAACACATGTATTTTGTTATTGAATCTCATATCGTAATAGTTCATATGTATAGTTACCATTGATGTGTTGTGCATTGTTTGATTTAATAAGAAACTTCTTTTTACATGAAAAACCCTGGTTAGCACCAGTATGTATAGTAAGTTCGGAAAGCTCTGAAAAACTGTAATATGTATAGTAGTTCTATTACCTTATAATAGAACTAATTAAAGTTATTACCATTCATACATTAATCGTATATTCTTAGTACCAAATTTATGAGTTGTTATAACCATACTTGACCATTGAATTGCCTGAACGACGTTCTTCAGGTGTCGGAATCGAAATGACTTTGTCACCCAGGCCTGCCGGCCTAACTGTAGCTAACAGTTATGGTGCGGGATTGTCAATCCCGTATAGATCTATACACAAACTCACGTTCTCCAGCAAGGAGACTCTGGTTATAATCTCAGGACTTTTGTTAGTACTTAGGTAAGTACGCGAAGAATGCTCACTCATAAAATGCTATACTAACGATTACGTGCAGAAGAAAATGAATCCATTGAATTTAGCTTGCTGTCTATATATCTCATAAACTACACATTATATAGTTTATATATTTGATTTCATTGAATCTATGTTTGTACATTGATATGTTAGTTGTTCCATAAACTATACATGTTATAACTTATATGCTCATTCATGCATTTAATTTATGTTTTACATTGAAAGTTCTGTGATTATGATGAAAACTTCCCTTATGCTCAGCATAGTACAAAAGGGATAAAATATCTATATATTTTATAAAAGTATAGAAACTGTATGATTGTATCAATTGCATCCTTTTTAAGTTTATTGAAATCCTTTTTATATAAGTTTCACAAAATCAATTATGTTTGGCTTGTATCCCCCCTGAAAACGTTAAAACAGTAAAGGCATAGGGGTATGAACTCACAGTTAGTTGCGTACAAGTTTCGAATCAACGAACTGAAATGAAGACCCTCGAGTTGTAGCGTGTGGCACTTAACAGAGCCCTAATAACAATTAAATACATATATGTATCTAAATTAGTGATTTCGTTAGATAAAGTGTTAGAAAAACACTTGTTTTCGGTTAAGGAATGTTACCGAGGCTTGATTGAATCGAGGAAAGTGGGTTTTCAGTCTAATGCACCACTTAGGAAGGGTGTACGGCCGTGAATGGGGTTTACGGCCGTGAAGGGAGTTTACGGCCGTGAACTGTCTACGGCCGTGAACTGCCTCTTGAAGGGTGTACGGCCTTTGAAGTGTGTATGGCCGTAAACTTATGTGCGGTTAATGAAGATTTGCAGATTTGAAGGGTGTACGGCCGTACAATCAAGAACAAGGTTGCTGGATTCGATGAAAAACGTGTTCTACATGCTTCAAATCGACTCCCAATGACGATTCTTGATGATTTTCGGAAGAATACGGGTGTTTTTGGGGTGTACGGCCAAGAGTTTAGAGAGAGAAGGAGAGAGTGTCCGACCAGAAAAGTGTAAATGAGGGGTAGTGTCTCGTATTTATAGGGGTTTTTCGAGGTCGGTGGTGGGGTCCACCCGATGCTGGCCGTAAATGAGTGTACAGCCGTACACGGGTTTACGGCCGTAAACTCACTTAGGCCGAAAACCGATGTTTTGATCGAAGGATAACTCAAAATTTCATGAAGTTTTGGTCCCGACTCGTATAAAAATTTAATTTATATAAACTAGATGATTTTCTAAACCAAGAAGTTTGACGGGAAACTTAATAAAATTCAGATTTTATTAACGAAAACGGATAACGGTAAAGGAAAAAGGTTCGGGTTGTCACAGTTACTTAGAATGTTGAGGAAGGAGAGGTTGTATGCCAAGTTCTCCAAGTGTGATTTTTGGTTGCGAGAGGTCCTATTCTTGGGACACCTTGTCAATCAAGATGGGATTTTGTTCGATTCGGCGAAGATCGAGGCGGTCATGTAGTAGGAGGTCTCGAAGTCTCCATCTTTGATCTGGAGTTTTCTTGGGCTTACAGGTTACTACAAGAAGTTTATTTATGATTTCTCCAAGATTGCGGTCCCACTTACTCGCTTGACAAAGAAGAGTGTAGATTTTCATTGGGGACCTGAGCAGCAGGTGAAATCTGAAATGCTAAGGCAAAAGCTATGTGAGGCCCCGATATTGACCCTTCACGAGGGTGTTGAGAATTTTGTGGTATATTGTGATGCTTCGATTACCGGTTTGGGGGCGGTGCTTATACATCCGGGTAGGGTTATTGATTATACTTCCAGATAGTTGAAGCATCACGAGGCTAGGTATCCTACGCATAATTTTGAATTGGGGCGGTGGTGTTTACCCTCAAGACTTGGCGACACTATATGTATGGGGTTTGTTGTACCATATACAAAGATCAAAAGAGTTTGATATATCTTATAGACCACCTGAATCTGAATATGATACATTGTAGGTGGCTTGACGTGGTCCAGGATTATGATTGTGAGATCC